AGATTGGAAAAGCAATTCCCCACTTTGACACACATAGACCTGTTGGTGGGATGCGAATGATCCAATATAGTAGTATTCTACGAATTTCAAGTCGCTAAACTTTGAGCAGGAGTTTGGAATGGTTGACTTTGCCGAACGCTTTTGACAGGTCAAAATAGTAGACTTCTTTCACCGCATTTCCTTTGTTCAGTGCCAAATTCCAGTCAAATATACAGTTGGTAAGTTGAGTGGTTGTAGATGCTCGGTTACGAATCGTGTTTTTCACAGGTGATTTCCAAAGAGCCATGCAACTAGTTTTTCTGTTAATTTTTCTAAAACTTTCACCGGTGTCGGCGTAATACTTGTTGGCCGAAATTTTGACAATGAAGCTGCCTCATTAGTTTTAGAGATTGCAGTGAGAATAGCTTTTTCCCAAATAAGCGGAACCTCTGCTAGCATCAAGGAAACATTGAAAGGTGTTGACAAATGTTCTGGTAGTAAAGAAGAACAGCTTCTGTATGTGATTTGAGGGATGCCATCGTACGTGGAGGAAGTTGATCGCTTAAGAGATTTTAGCACTCTTAGAACATCGCGTAGATGAATCGAATTTTCGCTTGTCATAGGTGGGATTAGGTTGCTAATAGGGATATGAGTAGTGTTTCGGTTGTCAGTGAAAAACGAAGAGAAGTACTTGGCTATTGCTTTGGCTTTTTGATTGTCATCAATGTACTTGTTGCCATGATTCATCGTGAAGTATTGAGAGTTTGGGGCGAATTCTCATTTTCCTAATCAGTGCAAAATTCAGCTGCTTGTGAGGATTGTCGAAGATACGCTTTTCATGGTTGGCCAAGAATCACCTCAGATGATGGTCCAGCTCTTTGCAAACATTTCTGAATCGAGCATTTGACATAGGGGCAGCAGTTTGTTGAAGAGGCGAGTTTCTTGTGAAATCAGATTTAGAATTTAGGATAACGCAATTTACGACTTAGGATAGCCGAGTGGTTAAGAGGTTAGACTCATGTCTGCATCTCTGAATACCGCGAGTTGGATCCCTGCTGAGGCTCACAACCATGCCTTGCAAAAATTGCAAAAATGGTTTCAGTACCAGCGTCAGGCCGGGCAGAGTCAACCCTGCGTTGCGCAGTTTTCAACGGCCACGTTGCGCGGTTTTGCCCGATTAGACACGTTCTCTCGCGCGAACATTCACACTCGCATGCTCGAGCCTCTGTGTCTCCGCCCATATAGCGTGCGTTGAGGATCTCTCAACGTGCCGTTGCGAACTGCGCAACGCAGGGTTGACTCTGGGCCCGGGTTGACAGGCTGGCTGATGGAGACCCCTCGTCACAACAAATATGTCTGAAGTCGAAAAAGGAGTCGGTGATAAAGCTAGGACGTCATCCAGAAGTGGCGCGCAAAACCCCGCCCGAGTTTTGTGGTCAGTGTGCGAGGATTACCAAGGAGTGAACGACCTCGACCAAAGAAGCTATTTCGAGTGTGACTCTGAACGTAGGATCACTAAATGAGAAGTCCCGAGAGGTTGCTGATCTGATGACGACCAGAAATATCCAAGCCCTATGCATTCAGAAGACGCGATGGAAAGGTGTCAAGGCCAGGGAAATCGGTGTGAAAAGGTGTCAAGCTATACTACAATGGAGAAAACACCAAGCGGAACGACGTGGCCATAGCGCTAGCGGTGTCGTTCAAGGACTATGTCTCCGCTGTGAGCGGGATTGGCGATCGGATCATGGCTGTGAGGATAAACACGAAGGGAGTACTGAACCATACTCTCCGTGTACGCACCGCAAGCCGGGTGCCTCGAAAGTGATAAGGACGAGTTCTGCCTGAGCCTGGACGAAGCCATAAGATCGGTCCCGGACGATGATTACCTGACTATGGCAGGTGACTGAATGGCCACGTCGGCAGAGACAGAAGTGGTCTAGAAAGGGTCTGCGGAGGTAGAGGGAGAGGAATGAGGAACGCTGAGGGAGAGAGGGTTCTAGAACCACGATACTTACTACA